CTTTTATCTTTTTCTTGTAACAATATGGGTCTGCCCTTTTTGAAATAAAAATTCAGGTGGGGAATCTCTCCCCTAGGTGAACTTTTAAAAAAAGTTACTACAACTTGATAAGATCCATACCAACAAAAATGATTGAAATATGATTGTAAAGTGAGAAGCTATCAACATTTTGCTAGGTAGTAGACATAGTTGTGCATCCTTCATGAGTTAAGATCGGTTAAAAAGATTATGTAAAACCTTCTACAAGAGGACATTCCCTCCTCTCTTGGTGAGTCTACTTTCATAATTCGGAAGAGCAAACTATGAATTATCGCTAAAAAATAATCCATATTTTGACAGCCTGGACAAAAAAAGAGGCTCTCCGACACCCCCTCCCCAGCTACACAACCCATTTGCCCGAGTTGTCTCGCGCCTCCAAACCCAGCCCTGGCCCCTCTATTAAAAGCCAACTAGCGGCTTTCAAATCTTAGCTGCCATCATTTCCCCTGTATCTCCACCCATCAGTGCTGCCACCGCGTCCCGTCTCGTCCGCCGTCGGCATGGAGCACGAGCGTGTGACGTGGTACAAGAAGCTCCCAGCGGAGCAGTTGCGGAGCTCGCCACCGAGGAGCACACAGGGGTTTTGCTCTCGTGCGGTAGTGGTGAACCGGCCGCGCCTCAGTCCCTCTAATCAGTGCTCACATCAAACTTAAGTGGATGAAATCTTCAAGCACCATTCTCTTTGAACGTACATACACTACAAAGTCATTAGCCATTGAACAGTACCGATTCAACGTGTTACCAATGGAAAACACATTCAGTTTGTTCATACTAAATGAGAACGGGCGTCTCTTTGATTTAGTTCTGGCAGAGAATCGGTCTGATTGTGAGTTTATTTCATAGTCCAGGGCAGACGCCATCAAAACGTACGACGGGCCAAGAGACCAATTCATAGGAGCTGGGAAACAATATTGTGCTCGTCCAGATGATATCATATCAGAATTCAGAAACCGTTATAGTAAGAAATGATATCATAAACGCAGCAGCACACCACCAATCCAGCATGTGAACAGCACACCCACCATCCATAGAAAGAACACACACACAGCAGTTTTCTTAAGTTTCCTCTCTTAGCTAGGGATCAACTCAACTAACAAACTACTAACCAACATTTTCACCGTGCAAGCAAGAGCAGCCTATACAATTCTTCAAGTCGAGGTCTCGTGAACAGGGGCAGGGCGATGCGCTTTAGCTGTCACCCGTACTAAACAGGGTCAGCAGGGCCAGGAACAGATTGATGATGTCAAGGTAGAGCGAGACGGCGGCCCAGACATACTCGTCATAGGTGTAACGCTTGATGATGTTGTCCGTGTCATAGACAATGTAGCCACTGAAGATGAGTGCCGCCAGCGCGCCATAGATCATGTGAGAGAGCTTGCCCAGCGGGAAGAAGATCCGTATATTTAGAGAAGCCATCATCAGTATTGATTGATTGTAGAATAGAGAAGCCTGATAAATGGGCATCATATCTGACCTGAACGAACCCAAAGACGAGCAACATGATGAGAGAAGCAAATAAGAAAGGACCAAGGAAGCTGAAGTCCTTGCCCCTCTTTACAGCCCAGAAGGTGTAAGGAGTGAGGCTCAAGCAACCACCGTTGTAAGAATCACAGCCTCCAAA